TCTGCCGCGCGCCGAGCCTCCGCCTCGGCGGCAGCTTTGGCCGCCGCCGCCGCCGCCGCCGCCGCCTTGCGCTTGGCCGCCTCCTCCGCCTCGGCCTTTGCGAGACGATCCGCCGCCTCCGCCTCAGCCTTCTCGCGCTCCGCCTTTTCGCGTCGCTGCGCCTTTGTGAGGAAGAAGTCGCCCGCGCCCCGCCCGGCCGACGCCCTGGTCGACGCCCTGGTCGGTCGGCCAGCCCTTGGCGCCACCGTCGCATCCGCCGCGCCGGAGCTGCTCTCAGCCTCCTCGCCGCCGCCGTCGGGGGCATCGCCCGCGCCCACAGCCGCACCGGCGCCGCCCGCCGCTTGCGACTCGGGCGAGGCCCGCTTGCGCCGGCTGCGCTTTGCGTCGGCGGGTTGAGGCGCGCTCCCAGACGCCTCAGCCGGCGGCACGCTCTCGCCCTCGACGCTGTCGAGGCTAGCGGCAGCGCGGCCACGCTGCGGCGGCGCCATCAGTATTTGGAACGCATTGCTGCCGGATGGGTCGGCGGCGCCGGCGCTTTGCACCGTCTCAGCCGCTGCGGGAGGGGCTTCCGCGGGCAGGGTGGCCGCCCGGCGTGGCGCAAAGTCCTCGTCGTCCTCGATGTCCGAGTCCATTGCAACTGCTGCTCGCGCGAGGGCGCTGTCCGCTGCCTGTCCCGCCGTTGCTCCCCAACTGCTGCTTGCGCGCCTTCGAAAACAAAAGCGGGGAGCCGCCTAGGGGCCAGGGCTCTCTTGCCCGTAGCCCGATACCGATCATCCGGCTCGCTGGGTGCGCTTCTTAGCTCCCCGGCCCTGGATGTGAGGTTAATGACTGCACTCCAAGTGCTCCAAGTGCCCCGCACAGCGCTCCAAGTGCTCAAGCAAGTGCTCCTTGGAACACGCACGCTCGCGAGCACCGAGGCACAGGAGAGCGACGAGACAGAGGATGAAGCGACAGGAGAGAGAACGACGAGAGTGGGACGACCGCGAGGTGGCATGAAGGTTGCAGCGAGAATCGGCGAGAGACTGCGAAGAGAGTAGACAGGGGAAGAGGCACAGACGCCCAAGGGTGGGCGACGGCTAGCACCACACTCCTCTCCTTAAAATCCCTGTGTGGTGGCGGCGTGCCGTCCTCCCATCCCTCCCGTGGGTTGTCTTTCTTCTTTCTTTTCTTTCCGAGGAGGAGGACGACCCAGTAACTGGAGGCGCTGGCAGCACGTGCGCTGTTGTACTTGCGGCGAGGACGGGCGCACGGTCCTGCTCGCGAAGCGCCGCGAGCTCGCGCAGCGTGTCTGTATGGCTCGCCGCCGGTCCCAGCGTGGGTTTGGCGTCGTCGTCGGGCGACGACGGAGCCTGCGACATGTGTACTGCAGTGCGCGTAAGTTGGCCGCTTGGGACGTACGGAGAGCTATTCACACCACAACTCCGTTCCGTTTCCTCCCTTTGGGAAAACGCAAAACAAACTCGGGCGTCCCGGCGTGGTTGGCCGCACGTTCGTCCCACACGTCCCGACGTCGGAGGGTGCAACCATGCTGAGCTCCGCCGTGCTGCGCCGCGCTGCGATCGCGAGCCTGCACAGGGCGGCGACCTGCGAGCAGCTTCGCCGTGCGCATTGGTGGAAGCGGTCGGAGAGACGGCGTCAGGAGCTGGCGGAGAGAGCCAAATGGCTGTTTGCAGAGGCAGGCCTGCTCGCCCTCCTCTGGCGCGCATATCTCGTCGTTCGCACGCCAGCAGGTGCGGCCGTCGTGGCGTCCACGTTTGGCCTCGGCGGCTATCACTACAGCCTCGACGACGGGTCGATGCCATCGCCACCTCTCGAGCCGAAGCCTCTCCCACAGTCGGCCGCGGAAGCAGAGGGCAGCATCCCGCTTCCCAGGGCGTGGCGTCATCGCGATTTTACCGACGTGCGCTGCCATCGCGTCGATATCTCAAGCGACGAGAGCCTGCGGAGAGCACTGGAGGACGAGCTCAATGCGGCCGCGCACGGGTCCTGTTTGGCCGATGACGCGGCCGTCTTCATCGTCGCCTCTGTTGAGAGGGTGGAGAACCTGGCGTTGTGGAAGGCGTACTGGCACGGCAAGCGTGAGATGACCGACGCGCATCATGCCCATCAAATCAGGGTCAAGGCTTTGGCCCCGCCGGCGAAGGTATCGCTCTCGTGCCTCGACGACGACCACGTGCCACTCGAGCCGAGCCTGAACGAGTGCCGCCTCTTCCACGGCACCGACGCCGCGACGGCCGCGCTCCTGTCGGAGCTCGACTTTGACGAGCGGGTCGCCTCCCTGGGCGGCGGCTTCGGCGCCGGCATCTACCTAACGGACCACGCATGCAAGGCCTTACTCCAGCAACCTGAACCGTGTGGCGCCCCAGCTTGCCCTCCCCCTAGCTCGCCCTCGCCCTCCCCAGGCTGCCGAGTACGCGCCGGCCGAGGAGCGGGGCGCTGCCGGGCCGCCGCTGCAGACCCTGCTCGTCGTGCGCGCGGCGCTCGGCGACCCGGCCTACCTCTCGCACGCGTTCAAGAATGCCAGGCGGCCGCCCGAGCGTGGCGACGCCTTTACGCGCGGCACAACCTACGACAGCGTCGTCGCCACGACGGTGGACACGCGCGTCGGCTACGGCCCGCTGATGGACTCGGGCGAGGCGACGGGGGAGGAGCACCGCGAGATCGTCTTGTACGACCACCGCCACGTGTACCCCGAGTATATCGTGCGCTTCCGCCGCGGCAAGTATCGAGGCAAGTAGTGCCCGTTGGGTCAGGTTCACACTCTACACAGAGCAGTGGGCGTTTGAGGAAGCCGCCAAGGCTGCGATCTAAATTAATAAATTTGCACGAGCAGGATTATTATCTTGGAAAAGGACGATCAGGGACACACAGGAGTTAGTTAGTTACACAGGAGAACTCTGTGTGTCACCGCGGAAGTCTTTTATGGGTGAGAACGGCGTTCTCTGGGTAAGCTCAGCTGTGAACTTCCCGATTGTTTGCTCTTGCTTGCGCGTGACCCCTTGCGTGCACGCCCAAGCTCGAGCGCCATCACGCAGAGCGAGCTCTGCGCAGGTCCCGCGACCTTCTCGGGCAGGAGCCCACCTCTCCTTCCCTCCGTGCGCCCAACGATATGGGCAAATCCGCGCCAAAGCGCGCTTCCGACGCTGACCAAGACGTACGGCCCGCAGAGGCAAAAGATGGCTCTGGGCCGGAGCCCCCCCCCTCGGGGGCTGGCGGGGGCACCGACGGGGCCCCAGCCGCGCCTCCCGCTCCTGTGGACTCGGCCGAGGAGCTACGAGTGCTTCGCAAGCGGCTCGAGTATTAAATTTAATACTGTAAGGCATATCGGTTCCGTGAGTGAGCACACTCACACACACACACACGCATAATCGGTTCCCTGGGCGTTCACTAGGATTCCTACCGGGTACTCAGTAGGGATCCCTTATAGAGATGTTAAAGGTGGGTTAAGAGGGAGATGTGCGCGAGCTGCGGGACCGCCGGGACGGCGGGCGGGTAATTGCGACTCGCCGCCACTTTTGGCGACTTTTGGGACGCGCGATCGACAGGCCGAGAATCGACATATGGCGGGCGAGGCCGTCACGGCCATGATCGTGGCTGCCGACGCCGGCGACAACCCGTTGGCGGACCGCCGCGAGGACCGGGAGGCGGCGGCGGAGCGGGAGAGGAAGGCGAAGGTGGCGAAGCTCAACTCGCAGACGGCGAACGCGATGGACGTGGTGCGGGCGCAACAGGCCGCGAAGGAGCGGGGAGCCTTCGACGAGGCGGCTCTCAGGGCGAACGAGGTCGCGGGAGCGCCGGTGACGGCCTCCTCCACCATGGTCGCGAGCATCTTCGATTCTCCACGCGGGGGTTCTCGAGGTTCTCGAGGTGGATATCCTTTGGCCGCGTGGGTAGCGAGGATTGGGTAACCC